ACACGTAGAAACGCAGATGTCCATGCCCTACACGTGCAGACTTAGTCTGAGTCTGCACTGGAAGAGCATGGAATTCTGTGGTTTTAGTGCGTGACCTGGATCCCAAATTTGAATTTAACACAGAGACCAAATGTGCACTGTGGGGTGTTTAGAGAAACGGCTCTTCACTAGTGTGGCTATGACACAGACCAGGGCTTCCAGGACTCAGGGAGGCTGAGCCCAAAGGATCACAAATTTGAGCCCCATCTGAGCAATTTAACGGTTTAGTGAGTCTCAAAATAAAAGGAGCCAAGGAAATAGCTCATACCACACGCCGTGACAGCCCGGAACCCCAGGTGCGCAGTGCTGGCTCCAAAACTGGCTGTGGTGACACAGGCCTGAAATCCCAGTGCAGGAGGCTGAGATGAGCGGATCACTACGACTCCGAGCTGTGTCCGAGGCTCTGTACCAAAATACATGAATAAATAAAGGATTAAAAAATTGTGAAAACATTAAAAAAAAAAAAGACAAAATGGTTTGCTCACATAGCTCAGTGAGGAGGGCCTGGCTCCTTCCCCAGTACTGCAAAAGCAAGAGATATCAAATTATCCATTTAATCAATCAGCAAATATTTATTAAATTTACATAGCATATGAGAGCACAGTTTTCTTGGACCAAATTTTTAATTCTTATTTAGGGAAGCACTGTATCTTTTTAGCTAAACATTCTTTATTAATGTCATTTGTTCTTTGTACTACCCCAGGTTACCTCAAGGAAAATCAGAATCTAATTTCAGCAAGACAAACACAAGTATGAAAATCCATTCTGCTCAATGCCACATACATTTTAAAATCTGAAGGATATAGGACTTAAAATAGAGAAACAGATACCAAAAGCTATTTCCTGACAAATTCTACGTTTCCAACTGTGCAATTTTTGGCAGCATTGTTCATGTTCTATATCCCTGCCTCCTGGTAGGAGGAAGTGAGGGCTACAAAGAAGAAAGTGCCTTAGGAAGGCACAAGAAAAGTAAAAATTAATTACTAAAGAGATTATTCACTGGAAGATATTGTTAATAATTTTTAGAATGTGCACAAAATATAAACTCTGGCTTGGGGGAGCAAGAGCAGGTTGGTGCTGGTCCTTTCTATGATGGCTAAAATTTTACACTTCCGTCCTCAAATCATCCTTCTTTGTTCTCTCTGTTTGTCTTGTGTGGATTGG